TTTATCGCATCTACTATGTGTTTTGAGGTGCGGCGCTGGCTTGTCCGCGGCGCTCGCATATGAAATACGTTAGATTGACGCGATACTTCCCGCTTGGAAAGTTTGATGTCGCCTTTCCGCCTCGGAATTGTAAGAACAGTCGTGCACGCGAGGGTGCACCATTCTCAGGCTTAATGACGACGATTAAGACGAGGCTTCGCTTCACCGGCTGGACTTGACGATAAGACTTGTTAGTCCTAACCGATAATGGGGCTTGACTTGCTCCATAAGAAAATAATTCAAGCAATCCGAGGGATAATTTCAATCGGATGATCAAAGCTTTTATGAATGAAGATTTGCCATAGGCATCTAAACAAGCAAAATGACGAAATAGCGGGGTATTGACGCTGATCCATATTGCCCCGGGCCTGGTTCGCGCACGACGGACGCCTCTTTGGTTTACCCCTGAGATGAGGTCTCTGCTCTATTTTCCCACCCCATCGCACACTCACTGCGGAGGATATGATAAAGGCGAGACCGCGCAATTGCAAAATTCCATCCGGAATCCCGATTAATCTGAATACCCAAATAGAGACTTCGACTGGGACAACAAGGTTGTGAGACATTTTGAAAATAGTATCCACAAGCATGAGGGTCTTGTAAAGGGAATGGCCACCAACCTCCGTAGTATTGCTGACCATCCATGGTTCCAAAGCGGGGCTGGCCAACAAGGTGGGGGCCAAAGTAAGAGAGGTCTCGCCAATCTTCAAAGGCTGCCAGTGTGATTAAAATAGTCGGGAGCTGCCGCAGCACGACCATACTCGATACCATTATCTGTGGAAATTTAGCCAATCGGAATTGAGGGAGCTCCTCCCCGACACGCTATACCAGGAAAAGTAAATACCAAATTTAATGGGTTTATCTATTCATTTGGCTGCGTCTTGATTATCGGCTAATGCGTAGCTGGTTAGAATTAACTTGACCCCCTGAGACTGTATGTGATTTTCCGAGACCCGAATGACTTGTTGCAATGGCTACAAAGACTAGTGATAATTCTAGGTCTACTGCCTGAGGGCAGGTTAAGTGGATTGAGCAAAGCAAGGATTCCCAGTCAAAAATTGATTGCTGGCGTCGCCTTTTTTGACCATCAATATTCCTATATTTACCCGCTTTTTCATGAGCGAAATAAACTTGAAAATCCAGGTATTTCATATCGTTTGCTGAACAATTCTTGCAGCACGCCATTGACTCTTGATTCAATCCTAGTTCATGAAATGCGCTAGGCGTGAGCTGGGAGCTGCTTGCATAATAACCATTTACATGTCCATTGCTAATGCTGGCAAATATTTATCCGGGTACTCGAGGCAGATAAGCCTGGCATGTGTTTCTATAATCAGGCACGATTCTTATGCGGAGACTGGAGCTGGACTAGCTTCGCTCACCGATGCATTTATGAGCATCGTATTGGTGAGACATGCGGCATCAAATTAGTCAACATCACTGAAGACAAGAGCACAAAGTGCCGCCTTTGTGAGGGGATTGAGGTTAAACATCGACGGCGACGGACCGAGGAATCCCGCTTGGCGCGGTGGATGCGCGAAGGAGCCAGTTTGGTTGCCTCGATGGACCAATCTCGCAGAATTATCAAAGACCTAGACATAGAATTATGGAATCTACGAAGAGAACGCGATCATCGGAGAAATTCCCTTTCTGGATAGGGAATTCCGTTCAAACCGAAGAACTCTCCCGAAAATATTGGGACGCATCTCGAACCAAGTCATCTGCGGCTCGTGTCTCCATTCTGATCCATCTCGTGCGCAATATCCTCAAGCTAGACATCAGGTGCCCCAGGCAGGGATGCCGCATTCGATCGTGACTATTTGCATCTACTACCAAGAGGAGTATGTCACCGCAGACCAAAGTTGTGTCGATACTTGGTCGCGAGCAGACAGATGCGTTGTTCGAAGACAAGAGATCGGCAACGGGCAAGGAAGGGATATGGGCGGTGGGCAGTGCCCTGATCGATTGCATAAGGGAAACGCGAACTTTATCTGCCATTGTCGGTCCAGATCCATTGCTCCAAGGGAATTTTTGCCCTGCATTGTCTGGTCATGCCAGCGAGAGGTTAATCTCCGCAGCTTCAACTCCCACCAAAGCTCTCTGTTCTCCGATCAAATCACTCGTTATGCCGGTGAGCAGCATGGAGGTCAAGGGAGGGCTTTAACGGCGCCATATCTCGAGTCTGCTGTTCGAACGTTTTGATGCCGGACATGATTTGCTCACGCGCCAGCGCTGCTTCAGTCGATCGCACGCGTTTCAATAGTTGGTGTGTGGGTTGGGGGGAGGAGGTGGCAATGCTTCGTGATGATGCACCGTTCAGTCTGCGTTCATTCGCATGCTGCCCTGGACACCTACGCCCCTGTTGTCGATAGTGTGGCTCATTCGCATTCGACGAGCCTAGTAAGTGGGCGCGACAGGGTCTATGACTTTTCGAGTTGGCGATGTCGTCGAATGTGGTCCATTACAATATATGTCCTCCAATGGCACTTGAATGGGGTAAGAGCACAAAAGCTGAGCCCTAGAATTGGTATTAGCGTGAGCGTTGGCGCCGGCGTCGTGGAAGGAGGTCGAACGTCTGTTGATTGGGTGGGCCAGGAAGGGTGGGTCTGTAATGCGAACTGACAAATTGAAATGATTGGCAACCCAGTGCAATGGTGATTATCTCGGTTAAATCAGTATAGTGTGAGGGATACAATTTTTGTAAATCACTCGCGAAATCGAGCGAAAAGGCTAGTACTGAAAATGCTCGTATGACCTGGTCTGAGAAGTTCGTGTTAGTAACGCGTCTGGTCGGGGTTGACGTGAAGGACGTTGCCCCCGCGGACTGACCATATGAGATCAAAACCCTGGTGTACGATTGCAACTGGACATGACCGATAATGGCCTTGACCCCGAATCACACTTACGAGTCATGACCTATGCGGTCGCATGGACATGATCCTCGTAGGATGATATTAGACTAACATTCCATACAAACAGCCCTGGCGTTGTTTTCAAGAAAGGAAAACCCATTTCTTTCTCATTTCGAGAGCAGCCATAAAGATAGATATCCAAGATAATTCCACATTTGTATATGAAACACTGTTGGAGCCGCCGACATTTCTCTCATTCAGTTTGTCCACGGAAGATTTAGCGGCTCACCTTACTCCAAAATATATTTCTAAAGCAGCAACGTGTTGAGACGATACACTAGAATAATATATCAGTGTACATTTCAGACATAACGAGAGCAGTAATGATTACCGGTCGATTGTGGTTGTCTGAGATATTCCGGGGTTGCCTCAACTGTGGAAGTCTTTCCAACGCCCGGTGGACCACTATCATGAGTTAGGCTAGAGCTCTTGGATGTAGTACAGACACTTTGCCAACGTACTTCAGAAGGATGTTGAGTCCTTGACCCTTTCAATCAATGACGTCGTCAAACGGTTCCGTTGGTATCAGACCCAGTCGAGTTCTCGCCAATGACATTAGGAGTGTCTTGGTTTCGGAAGGGATCTTCAGGTAGTCGAATGATTCAGGTGACCAGTCCACATCCCCAAGAGCACTGATTGTGCACTCCACTACATCACATTAGCCAGCACCAAGCCATTGTCAACCGTGTCACAAACCAAAAATTTTATCCTTGCAACTGAACCAGCAAATTGTTGGGCAGGCGACCAATAAATCGGTCTCGCTCAGCTTATGTGTATCCACACTGTCTCCTCGCTTTCTCTCTTTCTCTCGCTCACGGTCCGCTGTGAAAATGGTGCCTATGTCAAAGATTGCAGTTTCACCCTTGTCCTTGACCCCAGTGTCGCGGAGTGACGGTCGGCGAATATAACCGCCAGGCGCGGTGATTCACGTTGGCCCGGTGGGTGGTGATTGATGGCTCGATGGCTCCTGGATCAGGAGTACGTCTCAATTTCGGCTCTAGTGGTCGTTGATAAGTGCTTCCATCCTCGGCCCAGACTTCATGATGATCAACTGTAGCAAGCTTAGGTTTGTGTCTAGGATTGAGAAGGGTTAAATGTCGCTGGCGCTCGATACTAGCGATCTCGGCTGGGTGTTCCCCACTATAATCAAGGCATCGGGCTCGCACGCGGGGAGGCCAACGTTGCCGTTCGTGCTAAACTGCGCAGTGTCCACATCTCAGTGTTTCCTTACATGACCATACCAAATGTTCAAAACGCTGGCAGCGGAAGCATCAATTTCTCTTGATCTCACAGCGCTCCACGCTGCCAATATATCGCTGGCCGACAAGGAAGCCTCTCTTAAGGATCCAATCCGCCCCTTCGCTAGAGTCGAACCAGATACCTAGAGATCCAAACTTCTCTAGCGGCTTGTATTTCTTCTTACGCCAAGCCAAGCCAAATTTCCGATCCAGAAACCCCGATCGATCAGTTCGACTTCTTCCATGTTTCTCAACTGGTTGCACATGTGAAATCTCTTACAATAGAGACGACGATAGCTACCCACTTATGCTGCTGTTGTATACGTGATTGCTCTTTATTCAGATCCGTCAATATAAAACGCCGTAATACCCTAGAATGATTAAGCCCGGTCATCATCTAAAAAAACTCAGCTCGAGCAGATACTTCAATATGTTCAAATCCTTCAAAAAGCTCAAAAAGCTGGGGCTGCGACATTTGTTATTTCAAATTTCGTATCGTCACTCTAGTCTATGCCTTTCTTTTGAGCTTCATCTGCATGTTCGCTCGTCTACACAGCGAAGTGCAAGAACCAGAAACACCACCTACCACGAAACAAGCGAAAACCGTACCGAAGACATTGGCATTGTCCCGAGATACAGGAAAAAGAAGGGAAAGGACAGAAGAGGAACCACGCGTTTCAGCAGTAACAGGGTGCACCACAAGGCCACCTAATCCCTCCCCCCACGTAGATACCTACCCATATCTTGAAGTATGCGACGAATGACTAGGCTACAAGTCGATCGTCGCCCATTCTGTCATAGCCTTCTTCAATCAAACCAGTCTATCCTTAACAGTAGGAATCGAGTAACCAGAAGGGTCCAAGCTGGACGTATCCCAGTAGAACTGGTAAATTCCAGAGACATCAGTCTCCTTAAGACGGAAAACATCCGAGAGAGTTCCATCAGATTCCTCCCACATCAAGTAGCTGCCGTAGAAGAGGTAGCCATCCGTGGTAGCAGCGGATGGCGAGTCGATTCCGTTACTGGTGAAGCCAACGGCTAGGACCTCGTTGGCAGTGGGCTGGATGTACAGCAAGGTATCCGAGTCGAGTGTTACACCGGATGTAGTGGCAGTTGTGACCAGCTCGGTGTCGGTGATTGTGACTAACGAACTTGTTAGATGGTGTTGAAGGTTTAGTTTTTGCCCCAATCGTGCATATGGTAATAAGTCGGGGTCTTAAAGTTAGATCTTACATGTTACGTCGGTGGTGACATTTCCAGATGTCCAAAGGGAAGAGTCGCCAGCATAAGCGAGGCCTGGAGATCAATGTTAGATTTGGATTGTTTGGATCGAATGAAAAAGGAATGAAAATACCATCGGAGTAGAACATGGGAATGGCACTGCTGGCGACGCCATAGGCAACAAGCTGGAAGGATCCCGACGGGTTACGCTTCTCAATTACCAGAGATGGAGCGGCCAGGGCACCGGAGACCAACGCCAAGGCAGAGGTGACAGTGGTGAACTTCATGGTTGAATATTTTATTTTGCAGATCAGCTGCATGACTGCCGTCAGCTTTTATAGCCCTTAATTTAAGTTAAAAGTTTGCGAGTCAAACTATACCATTTGCTAAAAATCGAAACATAATGGGGGCCCCACTTCTATGCTGACGCGGCCACATGGTCCTGCAAGAGCTAATGGGGGCTAGAGCAGTTCCCGGGTCTACTATAGCTCCACCAGGCCATATTTGTATTTTTTGTAAGACAGATTAACTTAGTAAGAGGATTATCTAGAATTTAATAGATCTTAACTTGCTTTTAAAGAATTATATGCAGTGGCACGACCTACTCGCCTGAAGGGATAAAAAGGGCGAATATAAATTTAGCTATCTCAAATAAGAAAATTATCGACCTGCAGTGCTCCAGCAAAGTCGAAATACACCGATATCTTGGCAACAAGGAGGGAAGAATTGAGCTATTGGATACAACTCCTGTTTATTCAAGATCGCGAATAGGCAGTTCTGGAAAATGTGGATCCGAAGATAGCCACTACTTCTGCAAGTTTAGTACCTACTACCAAATCCTAAGGTCTAGTAAGAATTGCAGGCTCCTTTCGGTCAATTAGTCAGCGCTTATAGGGGCACGCGATTCCATTAAAGGAAGCTCGCCGCCCAGATGGTTCCTTTAATCTAGATTAAGCCTAGCCGTCAGACGGTTGCTTGGCATTGCATAAGCACTTGCAAAGTCTGCTGGCGAGACGAAAGTCAAAAGTCTATCGTGAAATCAAAACGGTCTGAGTTATTGGGGGCATTGGCTATCCCAATTAATATCTCTGAACGATCCACAACCGTTGCTTCGCCTCCGACATAGCTGACAAGCCAGCCGACTCCGTCTTTTCGTCGCGCGTATAGTTCCGAACAAAGCCTGACCAAGCAGGTTCGGCAGAGCCTTGTCATTATCGAGTGCGACTAGGCTTTCTTCAATAATTTCGAGATTTGGCAGTGATCCCGAGCTCAGAGCGCTGGGAGTCAGACAGGGTGGACGGGTCAACTCAAATGAAGTCAGTTGAGTTACGAGAGGATTGAATACTAGGGAAAGCTTACCAGCGCACTGCTTTACAGTCAGTGGTTTTGCCCCTGGTCCATGTATCTTTCAGCTAGGAGGGCGGCCACGGTGAAATAGGGGTTTGCCAGGCCATCTATTGATTTGATCTCCCAGTGACCGGGGCTAATCTTGCGGACAGGAGCCTCACGGTTCTGGAAGCCCCAGGCGACCCATTCTGATCCTGACCAGTCAACCGAGGAAATGGTTGAGCATGCCGGCAAGGAAGGTTTCTTCTTTTGTCGGGGGGTTGATGGAGATATGTGTATGGGAAGCAGTGCCAGTTCCATCAGGGAAGAGACGTGGGTAGAGTGTCGCGCGCAAACCGTGTCTATCTGCGACTATAGAGATGACTTGGCGAATAGCGAGGAGGAAATCCACGGCTGCTAGGGGTGCCAATGGTGGGAAAATCAATTCAAATTGACCAGGCGAAGATTCGGCGTGGAATTGAAGATGGTTCATGACTAAAGCGCTTCATGTGAAATAAGTCCTGTAGTATACGCTTTCGTTTTCTAATTGCTTCGCAAGAGAAAAAAATCCAAATCGATTCAAAGACATTAACTAACGATGACCAGGAATTGACTTGACAACCGAATATATCAAACAATGAAGCCGGAAACATATAGCATAACGCCTGGGAAAGTAACTATGGGTGTCCCTAACCTGTCAATTCCTGATACCCCCGGCATTGAGACTCCCTCATCAATCTCAAACTCCGGTGAGTCCAAGCTCGCCTTGCCATCAGTCAATCCGACAATTCGCTGAGGACTTCTTTGTACCGCTCTCCATATATCAAAAGCGTCTCGAAGTAAGGGACGTAACCCCATCTCGAAACATCTTACATCATTGAGAAGCGGGCGCAGCTTGGAAGTGATACGGTCGGAAATACCAGCAATTTTTGTTTCCTCTAGCTCTAGCTTATAGTGGAAGTACACAATTGACGACAGTGCTCTCATGACAGCCTCTTGCAAAGGTTGACTTTTTGCCATCGTGTCCCAGTCCGGCTTTGTCGAAATCGGATTGAGCTAAATGGTGTAACTTGGCATGGCTACGAAGACACGTGTTGCCAATTTCTTTGTGATGAGAGCTTCTAAAGTTGCGACGCGGAGATGTTTTGAGGGTGTGCTATCTGAGAGGTATTGGTCTCTCATAACTCATGAATTCTGAGCTTATAAGCCTTCTGAAAGTTTTATCTTTAGCCGCAGTCAGCATAGTACTTCATTGATAGTCAGTAGATGTTATATACCTGGTGCTCATCTAGGATTTTGTCATCGGAGTTATCCAGAAATGCTGATTTTACAACCGAGTGCAGTTCCATAGCAAGTCCATCGAGTCTATCCGCGCTTTATAATAGGTGAGCGATGTTTTTGAAAAGGGAGTTCTTGACTGACTTACAAGTGATCAACTAGTTCCACAAGGCCAAGTCCTGATGTGAGTCTTTTATACTTGTCTAAGCTTGCGGAGAGTTGTCGCCTCTGTGATTCGAGCCCCCTTTCTAGTGATAAATACCTCTGGGTTGATTGTTCAGAATCCGAGCGAGAAGTAGCTACGTTCCCTTTAGCTTCCCCTAACTTCGTTTTCATCTCAAAAAGTCTGGACCTATGCTTTTCTTGAAGACAAATTAGCCGCTGTTCAAATTTCTCTATCATCCCCTGGATAAACCAGTTGAGCCTTTCCTCCTCCCTTTTGACTTTTACAGCTCTATATGTGACTCAGCCAACTTGACCTTAGACTTGGCATTTTCTTCCAGAACGTCTTCACCTTAAACAATCATTCTTGCGTAAGGTGCCATCTCGTTGGCAGCGATTTGGAGCTTCTTCCATTGTTCCAGGAAGTAGGTAAGCTTCTGAGGACTTGCACCCGACATTTGAACTGTTCTAATAATAAAATAAACAAAAGGTTCATTACTCAAGGTAGGATGATAAACTGAGACTATTTATGTTCCAGCTGGACCTACGAAATATGGACTATTAGTTGTTGCCACTAGGATTCCGCCAGCTTCCTTGCTCGGCTCGCGAGTCATGAACGAACGAAGAGTATTTCGTAGCGATACACCACAAAGATTCCAATTATAGTCGCATTGGCTTACACCGTGCAGCGGAAATTATTGCTACTGATGCTCGAGGAACTTCGTGCTGGTGGCGGACTGCTCCCATCCAATAAATTCAAGCGCCAATCGCCGACTAGCGGGTAAATCTGCTTAACCATGGTTCAGCAAGATAACTAATCTTCCTTTGAAACGTACCATTGCGAGCCTGTGTCACTAATGATACCCGGCGTCTATTGTAAAGCGTCATGATGACTCAGTATTGAGTTGGCATATCCTCCCTAACGGGCACATTGTTGGCTGATCAGTTGTTAGGGACAGAAATCAGTCTGAGTAGCGCATCTGCCATGTGACAAGTTAATAGTGATATATGCACTCTCTGTATATAGCTGGCCATCGTGACTCGAGTGGCTGGGCGGTCTACAGAGCATGATCATGGAGCGCGTCACCCACAAATTGGTACTTTTGATGGTTTGCTATTAGATACGAGTAAAGCGGCTACGTTCATTGCGCACGGGCATGATGTGATGCAAGCTGCGGCACGATGCATGTAAGAACGTCGTGGTCTACGCTAATTGGCTCACCGGGTCCTCATACGGTTGGTTCTTCTATCACAGGACCATTGAGCCTCTTACCCCGCATCTCTAGGTACCCAAGGCATAAGAATAGCCTCGTGTATTGACTGTAGGGAGGCAATATTGGCAATGGAAGCCCTTGGCGCGGTATCTTCGATCTTCGCGATTTATAACCAGCTAGAAGAATGTGGCAAACGCTTGCACCGCCTCAAGCATGATTTCCGAATCGCCAAGCAAGAGGTCAATCTGCTCGCAGACGAGGTATCCGCTTGCCAGAGCCTCTTTGGCATATTCAGCCATATCAGTCGCCCGCTAGAAAAAAAGTCATGGAATTGGCTCGCAAGCAGCAACTGGAGGATACTCTCAGTTGCCAAGCAAATTTTGCATTTGGACAAATCAGTGAGATTGTTCTGAAGCTTGAGCCTTTGAGAAAACAGAGCAATGCTAGTCAATTTGACCAATTTATCGCAAAGCTCCGGTGGCATTGGACGAAGGATGAGGTTCAGCTTCCTCTTCTCACATTAAACAGTGTCAAGATATCTTTGACAGCATTCAACTGCCTCTTCATTCTTGAATTCTGGATCGCAGACATGAAGAGACCGTCGGTTTCAGAAACCGAAATGAAATCTCTAAAACTCCAAATGTGAGAACCATGTCTCCACGATGACTTCAGAGTTATATAGTCTAACAATACCTCAGAAAACATTTGAACGGACGGTCACTCGTCAAGAGAGATGTCTGCGACGGTTGTCTAACAAAATGAGTGATTCCATTGATACCAGCTCCCAAGCAAAGTTGGTAGTGAATACAAGATTAATACCCGTCACCATGAATCACATCAAACAATATCCCTTTGCCGAGGCAGAAACTTTGATCCAAGAGAATATTCTCAACTCTCCAGTCCATACACCCACCCCATCACGAAAAGAAGAGCCTCCCAAGACATCGAGAATGTCATTTTCGCAATCTCTCCCAGGGACACCAACTGATGTTTCTGGGTCTTTCAATAAAGTGCAAAGTTTATGCAAGGATGAATCATGTTCAGAAGCAGGTACGCTGGTTCAAAGAAAAAAGGTGCAAGAGACACGGGCCGTGTTTCAGGACTATGGCGACTGGAATAGGGAAATCTATGAAATGGGCTCTTCTGTCTGTCCTAACAGTCCCACTAACTTTTCAGGTTTAAACAAGACTGCATTTGTTCCTGTCCCTCCATTCAGCTTTTCTGATTTGCGATTGCGAAAGGAAGCGAAATGAGACGCTTAACAATCCCACTAAGCTTCCCTCTACCTTCCTTGAGCGCTGCTAATGTAATGAGAATTCTTTTTCTAATTCCGTCCTTTGTTATCGAATATCTTTATCTAGAATGAGGAGCTTGATTAAATTGTCGAAGTCCAGGGAACACCAAAAAGCTAAAAATTGCTCTTTTCTAGCATCCAATCTTGAAGAAATCTGTCACATAGGGACCAAGAGACAATGCGTTTTATCTCGTAAGTCGGCCACCTTAGTTCTGGCGATATAATCTGGTCGTGTGGCCCAAGGACTCGCATTTACGCTAGTGACAACAATTATACACGCGGGTCTCTGGTTGATATTCATATCCGAAGGAGCTATGCAGGTCTCACACTCATACATCGGTTGAAAAGGCGTTGAAGAATACGAAGACAGATTATGCTAATCACCGCCGGTAAACGGTAAACTCCAGGCACAGGAACACGAGGTAAGCAACCAAGAGCACTATACCTGTACTCCTCCCTAGTCCCAAAAAGATGACAGCACAAAATACCAGAGAGGACAGCCACACTGCCGCCAGCTCAAATAGCAAAAAGCTATCCGCCTCTTGTACCTGATACCCCGCCACTGCAACGACACCAGCACAGAGCGTCAGCAGAAAGATGTTGCTTCCTGCCGTCGTCCCAGCCATAATGCCGCCGTAGCCGCGAGAACCACTGAGGATTGCAACTAGTTTCTCCGGGAGAGTAGTGGCAAATGAGACAACGGTCAGACCAAAGACGGTTCCCGAGAGATACAGGGAGTCGGCGATGGTGACGGCGCTGTGGCAGAGGATGTATCCTGACAGAGAAAGCGAGATGAACCCCACAATGACTTGGAATATGTGGTAAGGAAGGCTTCTGCTTCGTCTGCTCCCTTTATCTGTTGATGTCGGCGCATGCTCATTTTCGATGAGAGGAGAGGTCTCGGAGACAGGGCCACGATTGACGAATTCGCCGTCATCGCTGTCACTGGATTCCCCGTCGCTGTCACTGTCCGATAGCTCTGGGGGCGAGGCTACACCCTTGTAGATAGCGTAGATAATAGAGAGGATGTACAGAGTGAATATGGCAATCAAGACCCCACCGACGATCTGGTTCAATTGGTTAAAGAATGCTAGCACTACAAAGAGCGTCGTAACCACGAAGAGCAGGGCCGAGTATATCTTTGCGCTGCGGTCAAACTCCAGGCCCTGGGGGTAAAAGAGTAGTCCCAAAGAAAGGGCGCCGAGAATGTTGGAGATAGTCGAGCCCAGGACGTTCCCAAGGGCCAGGGGGCTGCGATGCTGCATGATGGCGGCAACTACCACAGCGAGCTAATGAGGGGATTAGTCAGGATAGACATTGGATCGAAATGCACTGAAGTGCAGACCTCTTCCCATTCAGCACCAGCCGTCAAGAAGGCAATGACAGTTTGCGAGATGCCCAGGCGCCGCCCGACAATGACAGTGTGGTCAATGAATTTGTCTGCGCCATATTCAAGAACAAACACGCCTGCAATCAAAGTGGCAACATTGAAACACAAAGCATCCCAATCCATCATTGTCTCTGAGCCTATCTCATGTACGTCGGGGCAATGGAAAAATAGAAAGGGCTGGGGTAAGGCAAAAATCAATAGGTCTTACAATCAAGCTTTGGCTTGTCCTTGACCGCCTTCCATAATAATTGGTTAATTCCTAGGGACGTGCCCAGTTGTCATTGATCGCAATACAACTACCGCTCCGCACGAATCGAATCGAATCGAACTTTTGACTGATTCGATTCGATTCGAATAAATATTGAAAATAACGATTCGTACGAATTCGAATTCAAGTCCGATTCGAATTCGATTCGGGGTTCGCGAATTCTTTGTACTAAAGCCTCATTTGGAAGGCGGTAAATGGGTTGGCAGTACCTACTGCAGGCTGTAGCCAACAAGCGACACTAGATATTGCATGTATCACTAAGGTAAATATTTAAATAGTTAGTAGTTACAGAGATAAATAGGCTGGGGCCAGTGTATGATATAAATTTGTACAAATTGCCCTTGCTTTGAAAAATCTTTGGTCAATATCAATAAACGTGGGTTTTGTCAACCACCTCTACATGTCAAAATATATACATTTTTTACCCCTCAACTTACGTTTAAGTCCACAATCTGATTTTAGTTCGTTTTGCTTCAAATTACAATTGCTCGTAGACCGCATTAAGATACACGTAGTATATCAATATTGAGCCGAAGTATGAGTAGTTGCACAATATATTTGATATAGAGTAAATGGACGGTCTAATCGGGCTAGCGGAAATCCCACTAGAACGCGTCTCCACGTGTGCACGTGTTTTGACCCAGAACAACATCTGAATCTAGGTCCAACGTTACTTGAAACTACCAAGGTGCTCTGAAGCAAGGGGTTGATCAAGACAAAGCTTGATATTCTAATATAATTTCATAGATGACAACATTCGACTGTCCTAATATTAGGAAGAATAGAACGCAATTATGCGGCGCTTAATAAGTATGGCCCCCTTGCAGAGGATTTATCACTTCCGCCCCTTCGAAAGAAGACGTCGGTCCGGCCCACCCCTAAATCACCGAATACTTCGATTCCAGCCTCTCCTACGTACGGACATACGCCCTTCACAATCAATACTTCAAGTCGAACGCGAGGTTGAAAGGGTCGAAAGAGCGGAGCTGGGTATGGAAATAGTGCTATACAACACCTGAACCTGGTACCTGGAGATTAGGGAATAAAGAGCGGCTCGAGCTTAAGCACCAGTGTATTGTATCGTCATTTGCCTGTCAACAAGTATCTCGATACTCCTATAATCAGCGCTGGTTTTGAGACAAGCCAGAGGGAGTTTATTCGAAGCTTGTGGAAGGACAACAGGTTTGAATTTAGTTGTATGGCTAAGGTAGCCCAAGATAACCTTGCTATACCTGCAGCAGAGGTGGATATCGAAGAATTATTTCAATGCTGGCAGAGATGTGCTGGGATTTCGACATTTCCCAATGGAAAGCAAGACTCGTGGGACCCAAATAAGACTGAAAGACGCGGTACGTTGGAAGTCTGAATAGTTATGTAGTGATGGTTTCTTCAGGCACAAATGCGGTTGATCTTCTTGACCTAATTTGCAAAGGGCTGCTTGTAGGGATCGCGCATCTCGAAAGCTCGTTTCACAAAGCCATTTTCCTAAGAAAGCTAGATATTTGGTTCGCGAACCTGTTCGAAATTCGCGAATTTTCACGAATCGAATCGGCCATAGATTCGAAGTCCCGAAACCAAGGTTCGAACTTGATTCGATTCGCTGAAATTCGCGAACTTCGAACAGTTCGAAAATTCGTGCGGAGCGGTAAATACAACAATTACGATGATAGTACTGCCGGAATTATGGGGCGGCGAGCAAATGTGGTTAGTGTTGTCCGGAACTAATTTTCCCCGAATCAAGTAATAAGAGTATGGCGGTATAGCTGATTTCGAAAACTACTTAGAGATAGTCTAATTGGATAGTTAGATTAATAAGGTAGAAGCTATATACTAAGCAAAATTATACTAGCTAAGTAGAAAGAAAGGAATAGAGAAGAGAGATAGTTATAGAATTATAATAGAACTCCCGACGACGCACCGCGGGCGGCGGGAGCACGCATAGGGGGCTAATCAGGGGGCGGAGAAATCAAGTGCAGGGTTGACTGGATTTAACCATACAGTATAGAGACTATTACCGAATAGAGGGCTAAATAATTTATCAGCAAAGCAGGTTCGATAGCCAAATCCTCAGTTTGCCGATCATTTCCAACCACGCGGAGAGGTAAGCGTAATTCTTCAACAAATATCATTCAGGTTAACGCTTCACCACTGTACTATATCATGACTATTCCCTCCTGCCATTGGCAGTTATGTTTACTGAAACTCACTAGTATAATAAATCTTAGTTGATAGCGCACCACAGTGGTCCCATCACAGTCGAATGAAATTCATCGGCTCGAAGTCGAAAGCATGACTTCCGCAAATGTAAACACTGCATGCAAGAACCGTTCACTTTGACTATCTCTCATAAATTGACATGCAGCAAAAAGAAAAAGGGAAAAAGAACTAGACGATATTATCCTATCTTTGCCATCTTAACCAATTCCCCTAGCCACTCCGTCTCCTCATCCGTAAAATCCAGTGTCGCCGCATTTGACAAGCAACACACATTGTTCTCCTCTAACTGCCATGCTCCTGGCTCCAACACTTCACTCGGCTCTTCCATAAACACCTCGAACTGACCGATCTCCTGTTTAGTCCCCGCATACTTGTTCTTGTACAGCCACCCATTGAACCACAAAGGGCGCTTGTTGCGGTCCAGATGGAGGAGTTGGGGCCCGCAGATGGTGAGGTCAGCTTCGTGACCAGGTTCCACTTTGCGGTATCTTTTCGTGGTGGTAGCCGCAAAGCCCTGGTTAAAGCCCTGGTCGAGGTCCAAGGCGGGTAGGTCGTTGGGTGGGTTGAAGTTTCCGGGATCCTGAACGACGCCCATTATGCCGGTTGCACCAGGGTGGAAAGCATAGGAGGTGTCACCGGCGAGCTCCCAACCGATCCAGAAGGTCTCTTTGTCGCCTAGGATTTCGTTGGTATTAGTAAGATAGACGGGATGAGCTAAATGGGGGCGGGAGGCAGACCATAGACCATATCATAAGTTCCCACAATCCCTGCCATCTTATTCCCATCCCTATCGGGCCCATTCATTCTGCTTACTAGTAATAAGGCAACAAAGTGTGTCCACTTATCCACAACTACAACTCCGGACTCTTGCATATGCCCACTTTCCCCAGTCCACAACCTGCTCTGCCGTACCAGTTTCGAAATCGGCTTTGGTAAGATCTGCTGTAGCCACCTTTTTTTGCTCTCGGGCATAATCATCCTATCTTTAAAAAACAGGGCGCCCGTGCGCATGTAGTCCTCGTCATTGAAGAGCACCTCGGGATTGACGAAAAACAGTGAGTCGGCGTCGATGAAGATGACTTCGCGGAAAGACGAGAAAAGAATAGAGAACGGCTTACCGGCCCATCCGGTGAGCTGCCAGCCCTCATCGCTGACCATGGCGGAGAGGTCACGCGTCACCACACCAGGGAGAGCTTCGAGCTCGGCTCGGAAGTCTTCGCTCAAGTCGCTGTCGCCGAGATACATGATTTCGATAGGTAGCTCGCAACCAAGGGTGCGGAGGGAGGGAATAGCAGCGAGGAGAAAGGACACGTGGCTGTCGCCCGCCGTAAACACGATGCCACGACCTCCATGGTATGACGATGCGTGCAGGCTCATATGATCGGCGAAGTATGGGCTCGTCCACGGAAACAATAGCGCGGAGAGTTTGGCGAGGAAATGACGATAGGATTCGTATTTGTGGAGCGCCTCAGGGAAGGTTTGCTCGCTGAATTTGGCACGTATGTATGGGACGAGACCGTCCCGAACGTAGGTATTATTATTGTCTTCGGTAAAGAGGTGGAGTTTCTCCCAGGCTTCGAAGAATTGTTTGTATGCGCGCGTACGTAGACCGAGTTCACGCAGCTTTTCCGCACCCGTTCCTATCACAGGCCGCAGGAGCTCTCGGAGGTACATTTCATTGGGAATTAAAGAGAAGAGGTAGTCGAGGGCAGTTTCGAAGTCGTCGGGGAATATGTGCCTGGACTCCGTATCTGTGTTGGTATATTTGGAGGCCTTTGGGACAGAAGGCTGTGAATCTTTATCTTTCATTGATGAAGGCTTAACTTTGGCCTGCGGTTCCATGGGAGACGTCGCTACGGATTCTTCGAACATATTTTGCGATGTTGAATCCTGCCACCATACCTCCGCGGTCCTTACAATAGCGGGGTGAATCCGCCAGAGTCTGTCCTTGGCCATATCAAAAGTCGTCCGCGTACTCTTTACATCCGGAGTTGAAGAGTCAGTCCAGAAATAAAAGTATGATACTGTTAACCACCCTGCCGCTGCTACTGCAAACACGAGATGAATGGTCCGCAAAGTCTTCCATTTCCGTCGTACTTTGGCTTTGAACGTTGAACATGGCGGATGAGATCGGCCTTCCTTGAGCGGAGTTGAATGCTGCGGGAGGTACAAGTCAATCATCGCGGTGGGAGTATTATCGTGAGGACCGCAATGGGAAAGGAGTTGAAAATTTCGCAGACGGTGTGATTTTCGATGGGAAAGGATAAAGAAATTGAAAAACTCGAAATACTGACCACGCGGTGGAGGCTTCAACCACTGCGCTTCACAATGCTGAATATGGCAGGCCATGGCAAAGCACTCACTTGTTAAACGCATTCCAAGAAAATGCAATCATCCCTTCCAAGAGAACACAATTATCCATTCCAAGAAAACGCAATTACCCTTTGCAGGTGTGAACCATCGTCAGTCAGTGCAAACAAGGGGAGTTATCCTTTAACCGGTGACTTGTACACCATAAGAAATTTAGCTGCCGTGTTGTGTAACTTGTGTTTAGTGAAAAGGTGGGAAGGGCCCCAGCTACTATCGAAGGTTGGGGGCAGGCTCAACAACGAACATCGGCCAAGCTTTTTACATTCCGACCGTAGGAGGATAGTGCGATACCTAGCCCTTGCACGGCAAATTCCGTCCTGACACTCTAAGCGTGATTTTGACACCTGCCATGTTTTTAGTAGAGAAATATTGGCCCAGCCGGATAACATATCCTCAGCAAGGGGCTATTGGGCTGACAGCAAGAATGCGGGTGGCTCCTTCCAAGAATTTCAGGTCTTGAGTTCCGCCAATGAACATCACGGTATTCTATTGCGTTGTTAAATGAGTGAAGACAGCCCATTCCTGAGGTGACTATAAGGCGTGGATCTCTTATAGACGTGATTCAGTAGTCTGCGAAACAAATTGACAAAAGTTCGTGATTCTAGCGAGAATAATGTTTAGGAGCGTTAGCTCGGCTAACGCATATCTTGGTCTCCCATTGTGTTTATTCTGGGGCTTCGACGTCTTATCATGCTGTCAAATTCTGGTGGCTTGCATTCTATTTTCTCATTCTCATGTTGACTGTCATCTAAGGTCATTGATTCAATGGTATTCAACGCGATATTTTGAGGGAGGAAGGGGAAGTCTACCCCTTACAGACTGGCATATTTCACTCTATAGTCTTCTCCTTGGTCGAAATAAGGCGCCATATCTCAGCCTAGCTTTGGCGTTGCAGAAGACCGGGACATTGGGAATTGTTTACATTGATAGAATGTGGAAAATCATGGTATTCAAGGACCTCTTTGAAAATAGAATCTGGAAGTATTTAAGGAGCATATAGCTTTGTACAGCATTGCTCTAGTTAACTTATTGCATTTAATTTGTGGAAACTGAAAGTCATGTTCCTGAAGCTCCTCACTTCCGCTCTCCTCTTCTCTACCTTCAGCAATGCACTGGCTCCAGTTGGCCTGGGCACGGCTGCCGCCTACCTAGTTCTTGGTGGCCAAGCAGTGACAAACACAGGCCCAACTATTGTTGACAGTGGTGGCAATCTTGGAGTCTCTCCGGGAACTTCTGTCACCAACTTCCCTCCTGGAGTAGTAGTTGCCCCAGGAGTAATCCACATTGCCGATGCCAGCGCAGCTCAAGCACAATTGGATCTAGTGACTGCATATAATGATGCAGCTGGCCGACCATCTGCCACGCTGGAACCGACAGACCTTGGTGGGCTAACACTCACTTCTGGTGTATATCAGTCTGTCCCAGGCAGAGGTCCAATGACCATTACAGTCGGTCGCACTCTCACGCTTGACGCTCAAGGAGACCCGAATGCGGTTTGGATCTTTCAAACCGATTCCTCCCTCATTACTTACAGCAGCTCCAGAGTGCTGCTGATCAATGGTGCCCAACCTTGCAATGTCTTCTGGCAAGTGGGAAGTTCTGCTACCCTCGGGACAACAAGTACTTTCGTTGGGACCCTCATGGCACTCTCATCTATCTCGGCTCAAACAAACGCGGTAATTCAAGGACGTCTTCTTGCACGTAATGGGCAAGTGAGTCTGGACAGCAACACAATCACTCTCCCGAATTGTGCCATCACCACATCGACCACTTCCACATCGACCACTTCCACATCGACCACTTCCACATCGACCACTTCCACATCGACCACTACGGCGACAGGGCCAATCATTACACTGCCTATCATAGGTCCCATAGGGCCCATTTTAGGCGGCGGCATTGGCAACGGCGGCGGCATCAGTGGCGGCATTGGCAACCACAACGGTGGCGGCGGCGTCGGCAACGGCGGCGGTGGCATCGGCAACGGCGGCGGCAATGGTAATGGCAATGGCAAGGGCAAGGAAATAGGCAATGGCAACGGCGTCCCATTTGCCATCAGCGAGCATAACTACTACCACGACCAAGGCTATGACCACTATGGAGCAAACAGCGACCACTATGGAGCATACGGCGACCACCAATATGGAGCATACGGCGACCACTATGGAGCAAGTAGCGACCACCAATATGGAGCAAGCAGCGACCACCAATATGGAGCAAACGGCGACCACTATGGAGCAAGCAGCGACCACCAATATGGAGCAAACGGCGACCACTATCGAGCAAGCAGCGACCACCAATATGATCGAACGGCAAACATTGAGGATGTGCAGGAGGAAATCCAGCACGCCCAGGAAGCTGCTGACTTGTATAATGAACGCCAGTAACATTGATGAAGACAGCAGAATCATGATATTTTCATTCATGGGGAATTCAGATCATTCAGGGGCTTTTGGTGAGGTCATCTCGTTTAGAATAATTAGGTTGGGAAAGATTGAATGGTGCGGAGTTCTCTCGCAGTAGGTAGACTAGTTATCCCAATCTCCCTAGCATAAGCTGCTCGACTAGACTTCCGCAGAACCCAACTTGGGTCGAAGGTCTCAACCCAAAACCCAACCCGGACCCAATGCTGGGGCCCCAATAAAACCCAATTCGACCCAATTCGACCCACCTTTTTGCATAAATCTAGTATAAAATAAATTAGTCATTAAGATAATATACTGTATCTTACACCTGTTCTGGTTTGTATAATGTAGCACTTTACCTTCTTTCTATAAAACTCCGGAAATTTTAATAACTTTGTAATCCTAGAGAGAAAGTTCAACTTATGCTAAATAACGATAAAGTCATATTATAATCTTATTAATGAAGGAGCAGTCCGTGGATTATGGGATTCCTATAATCATTGATGATATAGCAATGTGTTACGGACCCACTTTGGACACACCTCACAAAAGAAGATAAGGGCCGAATGGTATTGTCCTGTCAACCTGATACGCACGACTTATGTATTAGAGTTAGACCTGTATCTTTAGTATTGGGTCGTGACCTACAGAACTCCACAACAACATAACCAATATACACATACTATAACATAATTCAAGTAGACTTCGGCACGGGCATGCCCATGAAAATATAGGGACAAAAATCTGTCCATGAACGGTAATATATACATGTATTACATATATTACATATTTATATGAATGTTTTTTATAAATTTCATGGTAATTACATAAAGATCAAAATAATTCCGTCCATGGACAGGCCCGTGCCGAAGTCTATTTTCAAGATCCAAAAACAGACTGGATCTAAGGGGGACTAGCGTGTTTCAGAAGAGAGTTTAGAGAAGAAAAGAAAAGAATAAAAAGGTGAAGCTAATTTCGAGCGCGACTGTAGAGTAGGGGAAAGCGGTTACTACTATATCGATCGAACACCGATCCTGTATAGAAGGAATAGAAGGGATAGAAGGTGGACTACTGTACCAGCGGATACAAAATGAGTAGCAAAACCCCCCGACCCACCCGCCGCTACCCTCCCGCTACCTTAAAATCCGCAAACGCCGCCACTTCACCCGAAACACCTACCCCACGCTTTCCCCCCCGAGAAAAACACTTCATCGCGACCCCCTTTTATACCATCGAAGCACGAGCTCGGTCATTTGAGGGGCAACTGCTCAATGGCGTCACTCCGCTCCAACTGGCGCGAAACGGCTTCTACTATGAACCGAACGGACCTTTCAGTGACATGGCGTGCTGCTTTGCTTGTCAGGCATTCGTACGCCTGGGAAGCTTCCAGCGCCAAACTCTCCAAGAAAGACAGAAACTACATGCCAACGACTGCGTATGGAAGGTCATCTACGACGAACTGAAACGAGCTCTCGAATCTACCGAAATACCCCATCCTTCAACCAACGCTCTCCCTCCACCTAGACAGCCAATTTCCAGCCACCATCCTTCTATAGAAAATGAGCCACCCAAGAAGACAACCATCGACGCCAGCACACAGACACTAGCCCAATCAACTTCAACCGTGCCCACCACAGCACAGAAACCTTCGAACTCCAACCCCGAATCCCGCGCTCAAGCTACACTTGCCACGACCGACCCAGAGCCTCAACAACCTCCAACAGCTCATTCTCCCCAGCCTCATCAAACGACACCGTCCATCACTTCCTCGCCCCAGACCAAACAAACAACCTATGCTTCCGTCCTCCAGCGACCTGTCACATCCATACCGCAACCAACTCCTCCAGTGCAAGAACCTTTTCTTCCCGCCAAACCCATACTCACAATTGAAGATCTTCATCTCCGTTTTCACAATAAACCGTCACCGTTCCAGCTCGAGAATGAGACAAGCCAACGCCCACTCAAACGAACTCGGAACAAAACCGCATCTGTCACACAGTCACTGTCCAGATTCTTAGCTTCTGCTTTGCCCGCGTTCTCGCGGTTCCTAACAGGGATGCAGCCAAAATCAGATACGTCGTATCCGTCTCATCCGCAATTCCACTATAGCCGCGCCATGAGGGCAGCCTAACAACGGGAGCGGCAAATGGCCACGATAGGCCGTGACGAGGCTCTAAGTTACTGTCAGAAAGTGGATCACTCTATATGTACATACTCGGATACATGGTCGTTGTATACTGCATATCGCTTTGCGAGGGGTCAGTGTAAATGAATACTACAGCCGTTCTCGAAATCGGCTTGACCAATCTACACTTAATAACTCTTCCCTGGACCCACCGCCAAGACTTTAGCTCGGATAACATCTTCAGCAACCCGCATTAGAAAATTGATGGGTAGGAACATAATGGTTCTTTAAGGACCTTTATTTTGCTTTGTGTAGGTACATTATACTCTTTGAACGTTTACCAATAAACTTCACGGTCTCTTTACTACAAGGCGTCATATTCTAGATGGCAGATTACTGCGGCCCTCACTTTGATGCGGCTTGCTCAATAAATCCACTGCGTTAAAGCCTTGGCTGCGGGGCCAAGAAGAGTTACTCAGTGTATATCGGTCAAGCCGATTTCGAGAATGACTGTACTACTACTACTACTGTACCGCCCTTGGAACTTGGCCTTGAGGTCTTGGGCGAGAATTCTGGAAGCATTACAGTTTGTAATACCAGTCAAAGAATTCCAAATCGACCGAGCCGTGGATAGGTCTTGCAAAGCTTGTGTAAGATCCTCTTATTTACAAGTACCAAAAATTCCTTCCTAAAATTTTATAAATATTATAGCACTATATTTATTTACAAAGTTAAATTATAATTTTTTCACTTTATTTTTCATTTGTAATACAATTTTATTCAGACTACCGAATTCTTCTTTATTTGCACTTTGACCGGGATGTTGTGAGTAATCACAGCACCAAATAATCCATCTAGCGGATTTGAAATAAACTCATATCGTAACTATTGTCTTTTGTGCGTGATAACAAATCAATGTAAACAAACTTATCGTTCACCTCTGCAAGTCTGCCGTATCACACAGTATGTTCATACACCGCACCTTAGAGGTCAATTCTCCCAGTGGCACACATACGATGTACATACTCCCAGATCCATGATGACGATCGTGGTTTCTTGGGACGGAACTTCGTAAGCGCTGGCGTCAGGCGATCTGAGAGGGATTTCAGCATGCACGTCAAGGTAGCTTGAAAGGGCCCATACCTGAAATCGAGCCTCTTGTCACCGCTGACTCGCTACTTTCGGCAGAACCAGATTCAGACGCAAGAACTGTCTGAAACCATAGATCGATGTTGCTGTGGGTTGCCGTGACGGCTGAAACGTCTGAGTGTATGATCGTCTGTTCAATCGAGCGGCGGCGGGGCTCTCGTCGTGTACGACGACCTTGACGTTTCGGAGATCGCGCGGTCGTGCGACCATTCTTCCGCAGAATATGATACTTTTTGCCTCGCAAGGATTCAACGCTTCGGTCCACGCCGAACCTTTCTCTGTATGCGTCCGGAAGATCTTTCCATGGCAATGCACGGTTTTCATCTAACCAATGCAAAAGATTCTCTTCTTCTTGCTCCGACCAGCTCAAAATGCCACGTGGAGACATTGTGATTATTAAATTGATGCCAACAGGAAGCTTCTGACTGTTTGTTGAAGAGAGTAGGCTGAGTTTTTAAATACTCGCTAGATTCAGTCAAAAGTATCATTCACTGGGGAAGTCGATCAAATTTTTCGAGTCAGAATCTGTTTCATGGATTGGTCTGATGAGCCATTTCGAGGATTCTGCACCTGAGGAGCGCTTGGTATCACGGAATTTCACCAGTTTCTGATCCTCAGAAATCCGGTTTTTTCTTAAAAAAAAAGAATTGGCGTCGCTCCTGAGCGAAAGTTACCATCATTGTTGAGCATTGCTCAAGTTGCACAATTTGGATGAAATGAAATGTGTTTCAAACAATGCTTGCATGTTCACCTTGCATGTTTTTGCATGTTGAAATTCCTTGTTGTACTTTGAATTGTTGAGCTTGTCTGTTGAAGTTGGCTGTTGAAGTTACCTGTTGAAGTTTACCTGTTGAAGTGACCCGTTGAAGTTTACCTGTTGAAGTTGTCTGTTGATCCTGCCTGTTAGTCCTGCCTGTTGATCCTGCCTGTTGAGCTTGCTTGTTGAAATTCTACATGATAAGTACCCTTGTTTAGTTTTGAACTCATCCAGAACCGTGAAAAGCTCATACTCGCAAATTCCCTGTACAATGTGGCTTTACATTTTTTGACGGAGCTCAAAATTCCGAGAGAAATTTCATTGTTGTGGCAGACTTCAATCGCTTACTCAGACCTTCCGACAAACCTTATAAAAGCTGCCCGACTTTTGCCTTGGGTGAATTCGCCGTTCTATAACTTCTCTAGCACAAGCATGGCTGGAATTAGAAAGGTTTGCCGGCCCACCAAACACGAAGACTTTCGACGTCGATTAGAGCGCGTTTTATAACTGTCGCCTTCTGATTCGGACAGTGCACAAGGTTCTTTATCATCGGTAGAGGGTGACACTACCGAGATCGAATCTCTTGAGGAACACAACTTCCCCAGTCTCCAACCTGAGACGACCCTGGTGGGTAGCATCCCGCAAGATGCCACCGAAGACTGGATACAGAGAGAGGATGTCGGGAGAAAGCAGAAGATTGGAGAAGAATCTGCAACCTCGGACAATCGTTTCATGATCGCCTTCCAGTGTATCTCCGAGTAAGTGTCTGACTCTGCCGTGAAACCAATTCCAACCTCGCTGCTAACCATACATCTATCAGACTAGACACCCGAGTGAAGTAAGTCGCAAGTCCTTCTCAGAGGCGACACCGCTGATACCATTATAGGTCGATCCAGAGCTCGCTGAGCACTCTTGCAGATAAGACTGAAACCATTTGCAGTGACCTGGACGATATTGTTCAACGATTGGTAGCCGTGGAGGCAGCAATAGATACCTTAGCTACAGAGACTCAGAGCACCACAGAGGAGGATAATTGACTGGGTGAATACGTTGTCGCCAATGAGGTTTCGGACTTTGACGTGATGGGCTTTTTGTTTCCAAAGTAATGCTACGTGATTCACATTACCACTTGTTCCCACCTACGTGCCACAGCATCCAGCTGCATCACCAACCTGAGTAGATTTTAAATTCAAATCACTGAGTATTAGTGGTCCGGCATGTATGAATTAGAATACCGCCACCGGTCTAAATCATGATTGCTTTGGCTGATACGCGCACGGACTATTTGTCACGTGCCAATTAAGCTTTGTCGGAACAATGGATCATGTAATCAACTTTATTAGTCAGCGTACCACATGTTAAATTGCTGTGGTGGAGACTAGAGAATACCAGACAAGTACACAGACGTGACCCATACCATTGGTACATGCTGATCGACCCTGATTACGTGTTCAGAGAAGCTTTATCGTGCCGGTGTTTCAGTGCAATTCGACCCACTTACTAAAATTGCCCACTCGAAAGCAAGATCTGGAACCCTGCGCGGCCGCCCTGGCAAATAATCGTCGAGATCATTGAGAAAAAAAATCTTTGATGTTACATTCAGTGCTTTGGGTAGATAATTCCAAATCATTTGACCCGTGGCAATTCTTTAATTTGACTTTACTAAAATTGGCTGAGTGGTAGACCATCTAGCGTGCCAGTTGCCAAGGCTTACCGTGATTGGATAAAATATCCGAGCAGCGGAAGATCATCTTGCGCATAAAGTTAGGAGAGGACGGCGATCACGATCCACCGGGCGGACGTGACGGGCCCCGCTTGGTGGTGAACAGTAATGCTTTAAAAACTCATCTACATATTTACATTTCGGAAAGTTCTCCATTCAAAACAAGGTATGAATTCGTCAGCAAGATAAAATTGATCGTATTTAAGCTGTAGGCCGACGACGATGATGCGACCATAGGGTACTTGTCTGCGTCATAGTATCTGACATCAAAACACGGCTCCATTATTCTGGATTGGACCCACAGCTACTTAAGGATCATGACGCATCACATAAGGGAATCAAACACATTGTTTGCCCCAGGCTCTCGCTGATTGCTCGAAGAGGGATTGCCCGATTCGGTAAACCCGGGAAGTGAATCGTGTCCCAAAGATCCCAGCGGGCCGTACTGCTCCGCCCAATTACCGTGGATCACTCCAGAGCCGGGTAGATATGCTAGTCTGCGGTTCTGGAGAGCGTCGATCGCGTTCCAGTATCGCGTGGTCGCGGACACTAGCTCGCCATGTGTTTGATGCAATATCGGCTGAACGTCATTCCACGGGACATTATCCTGTGTCGAAGCGTTCAACAATTCCACCTGCTGCTGGAGTTGACGAACTTCGTTCTGAAGTTTTTTGTTCTCAGCCAGAGCGGTTTCTTTAAGCGCAATAGCTTGCTTCAATTTCAAACCCTCTTCCGCCTTAGTGGCTTGTATTTTCTGCAACAACTGGGACTCGTAGGCCTTTTGGTCGTTTTTCTCCGCAAGGGCTAATTGAAGCTCCCGACCAATCTTGTCCATCTCATCGAAGCACTTAGCATGGATAGCCTTAGACTCCTTCTTCCGGTCACTCTTTGACACAAGATCTCCCTAAACAATATGATCAGCCGAAAGCGCATGGTATCAGCAGTATTGAGCATCGTGAAGGGTGATTCCAGAATCGAGAAATCGAAAACGACCACAATCAACATACTAGGACTTTGGGTGGCTTCGTGTCTGGACGCAGAGAAGAGCAGTCTGCATGAGACTCAGAGACCCCCGACGAAGCAGGGTTGGGAGAATTGATGCGGGATCTCGCACGCGTCACTCTTGACCTGCTTCGGATGTTTGGCTTCTTTGCGGTGGAGCTTGATTCCTTTGCCATGCTATTTTTTGATAAGCGAGTATTGGTTGAAGGATGGAAAGCAGAAGATTTCTTGTTGCCAAAGATTGGGCGTTCGCACCTTTAAATATTAGCGGGGTCCTTTGTGAGATGATCCGAAACGAAGCACAGAAATATGTGTCTCTGCCAGGCAACCCTATTGGTACCAGTTTTCTGATCCCGAAGTCTCGAATGTGCGTTTACACCGACAACCCAGAATCTGTTAGCGTGAAAGAAAATACTGCAAAAGTTCCACATGCCGCATGAAACTGGACATGATGCATTTGTTGATCTACTGATATGGGTCCGCAGGAAATAGCTGCTGCGTACATGATTGCAGGGTCTCAATATGATCTCCAAGGAGATGTATTGATATTTACATGAAATGACGACTTGCTGCGGCGTAGATGCAGAAGGCTATTGATTATCAAAAAGCCATCCAGTGTAACTCTTTCTTTTTTGAGGATGGCTCATTCCAAATAAAAATCCACGTGGGTGAGATTGGAATCCATATTCTTTTCGTAATTACCACTTTCCTTTGTACAGTGCATGGCTCAAATCCTAATTTTTCTATGGCTCAATAACAGCAAGCGTCGGCCAATCACCATGGTAACGCGACGGGGGATTGTTGGTTCTGAACGCTATTCGCCGTGGGACTTATCAGGGTCCCTCCATTGCAAAAGGTTGCAACACTACTATCATACCCCGGCGCAAGAGGCCTATAAAATTGACCTGGGAATACGTGACTCATGATCGGATCGAGACAACTATCGGTGGGACCTTGAGACTAGGAACACTGGCTAGGGGACCCGTGTCAAGAAAATGACCAACCAAGAACCACTAAATTGACATTGATATCACTAATCACGATCCGATTGACTAATGGATGTGCGACTGAGTGTGCCTTCACACTCAATGCCTGCTAAGGTTGCTTTTTTGATAAAGACGGCTTATGTGACTCACGGTTTGGGAGCACAGAGCACAACGCTACAAATGTTGCTCCCAAAATGATGCCTTGAAGTTGATTCGCGATCCACTCTTTAAAGGATGACTCCACATAGGGAAGATCTTCCCCACTTTTCTGTTTCCGGGGTGATCGTTCTGTCGATCCAGTCGAGAGAAAGGTCTAGAAGCTATTTTCCCTGCATCGAACCTTCTTCCAACACTCTAATCGCCCACTTAACGCTTCATCCTTTTTGCCTGATTTCTATTTATGGTCTAGAACCACCGCTGATTCAGGGTCGTGCATGTTGGCAGGACAAAATGGGCTTACATGAATAATTCAAGGACAATGCAGACACTGATTGGCTTCCGAAAACATCAGGGTCGGCTTCGTGGGCCAGACATACTTGCAGTTCCCTGTTCGCAAGTTTCAATCCCGCGGGTGAGTCTGGTGTAGGATAAACTTCTGCCTGCAACTGTTAGTTTTAGACCACAGTTTTACACCACCCGCAATGTGGAATTTGATAGCCACAGCTCTTCTCGAATGTCTGTTCCGGTCAAGAAGCAAAAATCCGAAGAATCTTACCTCAAAGAAGTTGTCAGTCTCAGCTTCAATATCACCCACCCATGGACAATCGCGTTCTCCTCGCCTGAGGCTGTCCTGCCCGACCGAGCGTTTCCATGGTTTAACGAGAATGTCGCCCAACTTCTCAGACAGTCCCACTCTTAAATCTATGGAAGCTGAGAAACCTGCATTTCTCTAACCTTTTCACTAGCATCCGGACTGCCAGACGCACGAGAGAATTCCATTGTCTAGTTGACCTGGAAGGGATATGGATTGAGGCTAATCGCATCTAGAATTCGTCAGCTTCTACGTTATCAATGAGTCTGCGACCCACCCAGCTTTCTATGAATCCAATAAGATCTTACCAGTTCCAAAAGTCATCCCAAGGAGCGCCCAGCTACCATGTCATGATCTCATTGCAAGAAAATCACATGTTTACGCAGTAGTATTTAAAATCGTCTATCCACCATGTCCACCTCAGAATTTCAAATCTCTTCACGCTTGGAACAAGTCTTTGGTCACCATGGATACAATCATTACCAGCCTGCCATCAGACGTCGGGGCCATTCTGATGAAGAATGTCTCGATCATTCAGGTCGTGTCCATGTTTGCGATCGGCGCATACAATGCCTTCGAAACGGCAATTGTCACCTTCGATACATTCAAGCGCTACAGCGGTCTCTATTTCTGGAGCATGCAAGTCGCGTCTTGGGGCATTCTTGTTCATGCACTGCCTGCCATGGCTCGGTTTGTCTCTCAAGCATCTAACCTTTCTACGTCCATCCCTTTCATCATCGGGTGGTACGCCATGGTCACTGGTCAGGCGGTCGTGCTCTATTCCCGTCTGGATCTCGTTGTCCGCCACATGGAAAAAGTGCGGTGGGTGCTGTGGATGATCGTCGGGAACTTTTTCATTCTTCACATCCCCATGACCGTCCTGTTCTTTGGCCTGAACCAAGGCGACGCACGCTTCGCTCGTCCCGCCGCGATATACGATCGCATCCAGGTCACCGGCTTCTGCGTGCAGGATTTCATCATCTGCGGCATTTACATCTACGAAGCAATCCGAATTCTCAAGCCCATGGTTCAGACCCGAGGTCGCAATGGGCGGAATGCCATCATCCATCTGCTCTGGATCAACATCATTGTCGTGCTGTTGAATATCCTGCTTCTTCTTACCGAGTTCAAGCTGCATTACATTCAAGTGAGCTTCAAGACCGTGGTGTACAGCATCAAGCTGAAGTTGGAGTTCTCCGTGTTTAATCGTCTCCGGTCGTTGACAAGCAATCAACCAATTCTATCTCAGTATGAGCCCGAAGACTGGCGCAGACCAAGCAAGACAAGTCTGCTCGACAAAATATTTCCATGGGTATCTGTCACCCCGGATAGAAGTGTGAGATCTGAGGCTGGTCAGAGAGAAGCGTCACGAGGCGCGTGTACAGATTTGACTGAGGGTAGCGTATGCCCTGGAAGCACTTTGTCCACACGACTCTCGGCCACTTCCTCAAACACTCTGCCTACAGCCTCATCAAACAGTCTGCCCGCGCTGGAATCGGGTCTGTCTCAGTTCTCACCCCATTGGATGTATGAAACAACACCAAGAAATGAGCAATAGGTTCATTTTGAGCTCACTGCCCGCGAGAGAGCGGATTGGTGATTCAAAGGAAATGTGAACGATGCAAGTACAGAAGCCGGCACGAGCCCCTTGGAAAGAATTAGTGACCTTTGAAGATGTGAAATTGGTGCACCATGCACGAGTCAGAGCTCTATTCCTTCATAGCTAATTTTCATGGAGATATTATGCATTGCCATAGATTATAATCATTGCAGAACAGGAATGGCAACATAGAATAATCAAATGAAGAAAGTCAATCCTCCGCCCAACTAATGTACGCCTTCACGGTTCGATTGGAGTGCAATCGATGCATTCACTCTTAAATTTGAGCACCTGCGGCCTGCGAGTATCCAGAACAATACTGTATACAGTGCTTTCGAAAGAGAAGCAGCAAAATGGCAGACATCTCGAGCAAAGTATCAACATGCTCGCCCCAGATACGGAGAAAACCTGTCGCCAGTATCATGCACTCATACCAGCTGAGCACCTGTGTAACACATAAAGTCTCACAGGAATTGCTGTTGGACTCCGATGGCTCTGTTTCATTGCCACTTGGTACCATAACATATATGATCGTATCGTTCAGCGTTTGTCGATGAAACGCTTGCTCTCTTGGATATTGGGCTGTCACAGTCGATAATTGCATCCAGATACAATCGCTACCGACGACCCGCTCCTCACTCAACTGTTGAAAAACAGTACTTGGACTCAATACTTCGAGAACAGACCTTAGAAGTCTTGTAAACGATCCAAATCTACGCAGCCTGCGGTGATGAGCTTCTTTTCGCTGTCAATGACCGGGCTGCAAGGGTCACCACTCCTCAGCTTACCATTTATAAATGGTGTTGTCCGACATGGAAGGGGAAGAACATCTCATACGTCTTTCTAGCAGCAAAAATATGCCCAACATAGAAAAACGTAATTCATCCAAAACCTGGCATTGTGCCATCTTCTCCCTCATCAGCTTTTGTGGGTTATCTTATTTCTCTGTTCTTCTTGCACAAATCCTCTTTTTTCGCTTTCCTCCGATCGGCAATGGGGTTTTCATTACGTTTTCTGTGGTCGTCTTTTACGCCAGCATCATGTTATGGTGCTCATTGACCTTACTCAATCAATTCATGTCCAACTTTCGAAAAGATTACAGCACAACGTCTCACAAACCGGAATTGGAGCTTGGAGCTGTGTTAGCCGTCATTTGGACGAGCACTCTTCCAACGGTCATTCATCTTTATGAGACACAGCCTTCCATTCAACTCGGATATACAGTTCTTCTCGCCTGTGCCTTCCTTGGGAGCGTCTTGGACTACATCGCATCTGGCCTGGATTCATCGGTTATTCGGATCCGATTCCCCTACCACTGCACCTCGCTCGGCTTACTGTGTTTGGCTCCAGCGGCTCAGGCTTTGGCCGAGACTCGACCTGCATTTCCAACACTGGCGACTGAGTTCATCCACATGGTTTTAAGAAACTGTCTTGGGGCTGCAATTTATCTGACGGGCCCTTTGGAGCGAATCAATTTCCTGTCCCGACTGCAGCCCAGTCTTTGTGTGATGTACCTGTGTGTTATATACAGCCTAGTGAGTTATTCGAAGGCGCTCATGCAGGTCATTGTCTGAGCCTCAGTTATATGTCAGTAGTGGCTGTGCGTTCCAGATGAGAACAGGGGGATTCAATTTTCGTTTCATGTGTGCAGATATGCGCGAGGGGTTTCGGGAGAAATTACGGGAAGTGCAGTTTCGCTTGGGATGGGCTTTGAAACAAATGGGCATTCGAGGTATTGTGCTAGAGATTAAGAGGCGAGTGCCGACCTTACTGGACTGTTTATTGCATGAATATATACGTACAGTGTCCCAGCGCCAAACGCAAACGATGTGAGCAGCAGTAAGTTAATGTAGGTGTCATTCATTGGCGGCAAATGACCGAATATTGAAAACCAACTTTCAAACGAAGTCTAGCGAAATTGAAACGCTCAGTCCCCATGACAAACCTTAGAAGATACGTCTCAAGCTTGGAGGTCTTGTTTGTGAGTCTGAATCGTGGGCGACTGATTTGTGCTCCCGTGAATTTTATTGCTCTTATTTGGGTAAACTCTACTTTTCGGCAACCTCATCTTCTGATGACTTGACGTAGCAACGCCGTATAGCCCTTCAAAATATATACTGCATAGGACCACATGTGATAATGATATATTAGCATAGTAACCCACTTCTGTCAGATGCTGCTTCTGTGTATTTAGTCAAAAACCACAATCAAACACATGCCGCGTCAGCTTGGATCATGTCAGTCGGAAATCTGAAAGAGCACATGATTTCGACTTTGACACCATTAAAGCTCAATCCCAACCGCCACCCACCTTCCCCGGCAGCTTCGCTGGCAAGGGAAAGTCCGCTCGCGCTGTACCAACAAGACAAATACACCACCGCAGCCAGAAAACCGTCACGGGGCCCATTAAAGGTCTTTGTCTTCCTCGCTTGCAAAGCCTCAACAATATTACATCCGTTCTGATCGTGCGACACGAGTCCCGTGGGTGACGTATCAGCAAGCCATCTCATAGCGGGCTCAGAGCACTGCGTGGACTGCTTGACAAACCAATCCGAAGCCACATGCATCGCCGCCATCCCGTCCATCACAATGCAGCCCATGCAAAAGTACGACAAAGAGGATGGGGCTATTGGTGTCGACGATTTGAAGCGCTGGCCCATGGAGTCCGCTCTCGTTAGCTTTCTGGGCGCGTCTGGAGCGACCGCATCGATGGAAGGTTTGAAAATGGTGTCATTCTGCCCGGGCTCAGCACTTACTAATGCCTGTTAGCGCCAATTGATCACGGCTAGTCAATTGCATTTACCGCTGTGCGGAGCAGTCTGTCTAGTAAACACTGGATATCGAATGTTGAGGAGATCGAGATAACGTTTCCATATATTTCATACCGCAGTATTCGCCATCTATCGTACATTCGGAGTACCAAGACCAAGGTAAGGGAGAGAGAATACATATCGAAAAGACGCCGCCTTGCTGCTGGAATTGCATGAAACCCACGTGCTGAATGTGAGATGTATAACCTCCAATGTCTCTTCAAACGCGTCTCAAAGCCTCGTCGTTTGAAGGCTGGTAGTAATAAACAGTCAGCTCACAATATTTCGAGCAGCCACAATTAAGGTTGTTCCTTTGATTGCGCTTGCTCTTACTAAACGCAGAAGTCTCACATGAAGAGCAGAACGAAAAAGTTGATGATCATGAGGGAACCAAATGCAGCTTGCCCAACGCTCCCGTAATACATGATTTTGTAGTAAGGCAGGTGGCCGTGAATGTTCAACAGCTCAAACGAAGATCGAGACCCGTGAACACAGCTCGCGATATATCCACTGACAGAGACAGCAGTGAGCGCTAGTACAACCTGAATGCATTCGAAATAGATTCGACGTTGGCCGTTCTGATGTAGCCACCTCAAATGGATCGCAAGGATCATACCAAAGATGGAGAGCATTGTTGACATCAGGGCCAAGAGGACTGAAACGACGAGAATATTTTCCATCAGGCTTTGAAAGGCAAGGCCCAGTATAGTATGGTTGGTATAGATTAGATCTGACTCCGCATGGTCCCGGAGGATAATTGCAAAGTGAGATATGGCCGAGCTGAGACCCGCAAAGGCCAACCACATGATAGCGGGGACGAGAACAGTCAGGCGCATGCAAAGCATAGCGGATGTGGTGTTGGAAGCCATATTGAGGACGGAAGACGTTAATGATTGACGAATAGAGCGGGTCTTGCGTAGTGAAACAGGATAATGTGGAAGCGAGGATTGATAGGGTCCTCAGGCGATGTCTCTCTTTAAGTACTTTCCTGAACCTGGTTCAGCCTGGTTCAGCCTGGTGTCGAGCCGAGTCGATGATCATCGAAATGTCGGCAATTGAGGTGGCGGTGCATATCAATGTTTGCGCCCCGAGCTGATTAGCTTGTACACCTGTGGGAACACCGAAGGGATCCAGTGGCCAGCTCCCAAAGTCATCACACATGCTCCCAGGACCTTTTCTGATTTCTCTGTCGCCACAGCGGGAATGCAATCCTTCTCAGAGCATGCTTCTTCCAGTACGTTCAACGTGACGCCAACTAGCTCCGTCCAGTTCTCTATGTTAGTCATCTCAACGCTCAACAATGTCCCTACATGTTGAGACATTGATGATTACGCGTTAGCATGAGTCTCTCCGTGGTACATTCAAAAGGATAGGCATTAGCGCAGCATTCGTTCATCTTCCTTCATGCTTCACGCCAGTCTTCCTCTCGTCACCTCCATGATGCCAACGCGTGAGTCTCAGTCATGTTTCAGCCAGAGACAGGTCCTCGGGTAAGGCATATTCTTCCTCCCTTTTGCAAGTCATGGCGGTGCTGATCTGAAATCTATGAAATCCAGTATGGCGTCGAGCCAGACCCCTTTCATTCCCAACTCGCCCTTTATTTGCGCAAAGACTCAAGAGCTGCTCTGGAAGTGGGAACAGCTGAAGCTTTGCGGACAGAGTATTAATACCATGCTGCAATGCGTGACCTTACCCAGCCACACTGTGGTCAACAAGCCAGACAAAAATTGTCGCTTCGTTTCTGTTGAATTCGGCGAGACTACAGTCCTTCCACTTGCCAAAGTGACCAGTCTGCAACCCTTGGGTTATCATTTGGGAATTTCCTGCGTGCCCAATGAGAAGGACAGGAAGCTCATCATTCTTAGGATCGCAGGAACGAAAAATATCTCAAGCATCAGAAAGTTGGCGCTCCGACTCTGGAATCCCGTTGGTACTGCTCCTCCGCCGGTGTTATACAGCTGGTCCACCGAATACTGGGTGTCGGATTCGGTCGTGATCGATGTCAGATCAATCGAGGGCACAGATTTGATGGATGAAGCTGTACGGGCAGGACGAAGCGCCGCCAAGACATACGTCTGTATTGGCCTTCCTGCAATTTCCTTCGGCCCCCTGTTCAATACCCTTGTGTCCACATGCAACGTGAACGCAGCTTGCTTCAATCTCGCCATAGGATATATCTGGATGGCGGCAGCCGTTGATCCGACGAGACTTGAGGTGGAAGGAGAGGCTGGCTCTGGGTTCTTTGACAATTTGTGTCTGTCGATGATCAATGATGAGACTCAAGGGTCAGTGCTCATCGAGGCAAAGCTCCGTTTTTGGCTCGGAGGCACTTCGCGGATGAAAGCTTGTGTCCTCACCGAGCTGTTGGAGATGAGAGACATCCGCACCACGTCAACTCACAGACCCATCGCGCGATCGTGATCATGTCGGCCAATCAGGTCTAGCTGTTTGCACTGTTCATAACGCCATTTGGAAGATGGACCTTGTAGCTATGCGGCCGTGGGGTACACACAACAATCTTGAATGCGCGTTTCCATTCTGTATGTTTCTTATGCCACAAAGAATGACCAGTCCTGTCGAGTTTTCGCAGACTCCGTGGAAGTGTTGATGTGACAAATCTACAAGCTTACATGCTGAACCAAGCAGATACAGGTTCTCGTGGGCAAAGTGTATTCAATATCGAGCCTCCATCAATCGAGTATCCATCAATCAAGTATCCATCAATCGAGTGAACGAGTTTCAACATATGTAGTTATCCTTGTAATCTGTTAAACCGCGATGCATGTGGAACCAGTTATGGCTCGCAATACTAAACACTATGGCTTCACCACTCAACTCACCACTTCCTTCACCAGAGATACCGCGAGGAAAGATCGTCCCAAGGTCATATAAATCGTCGGCTGCCCACCAGAAAGAACTCCAGTCTAGTCACTCCATTTGACACCACAGACTCTGTTGGCATGGACCCAGACAGCTCTGCCAGCGACGAAGCAAGCAGACAGCTGCACGATGAGCTGCAACAAGTCTCAGACACTCCCTGCGTTGGTATTGCAGATCAGCCGACTCAGCAGACCGTGGTCTTCGGAATCTCGCCTGCATACGTGAAGGACTGGGATACGACCGATGCCTTCCGCGAGCTATATCAAAATTGGTACTTATCAAGCCGCCCATTGGGAGTTTTGCTGACACCGAGTAGGAGAGATGCCATTCTGGAAACATTCCAGCTCGACCGCCGCGACTTGAAGCTATCTTTTCACGACGATGACGATCACTTCGCCATCATAGGCTCGTCAGCCCCGAAAGATCACGCGGACCCCCTCGCTCGAGGATTCATCAAGTACGAGAAACACACCGGTCGAGTTACCCTCGCCAATGCATGCGTCCAGCTGCCGATCGAGTCTCTCGTCATGGGACACTCGACCAGAGACAGAGACAACCGACTGAGTGGCTCGTACGGAGATGGTCTCAAACTGGCTGCGTTGGTCATGAATCGACAGCAGTTTCAAATGAGCATCGCCGCAAGTCACTGCAATTGGAAATTCGGGCTGCATGGGCCGCAGCAGTCTCTTCGCTGCGTGATCACAGCGGCACCTAAGACATCGCACAGCGACTGGCCAGCAGCCGCGGATGATATGGCGAACTTACGCCCCCGTATAGAACGCGATGTCGCCGTGGTCATTGGCGCGGGCCGGGGCAACCACAGCCGACCGGTGTCACCCAAGACCTTCCTGCGATGGTTACGGGTCACTCTTGACATTCACGGACTCGTCTCGCCCACGTCTTCGATACAGACACCCCAGGGAGATTTGCTGCTCGATCCAAAATGCTCTGGCAAGCTGTTCCTGCATGGGATACAGCTGGCCATGCATCCCGTGGGCGGCAAGGTTTTCAAGTACGGCTACAACTTCGCGTGTGGGAAGTTTAGCCGAGACCGACAAGGACTGATCAGCCAGCTCGACTTGGCAGACCTCGTGCGGCAGATATGGGAGTATGCGTTATCTGTGCGTGAGAAAGACCTGCTCCCAAGCTATGTCAACCTCCTCCGGAACCATCCGCACCTCGGCGATGTGGACCAAGCAGAAAGACTTCTGGAGCCATCGGCCAAGACCCGCATTTGGGAGCATATGTTGTGTGCCTCAAGGAAGAAACTGTTCTTTTTCAGCGTGGAAATCAGTTTGCAGGTCAGTGCAAACCTCCTTCAGCGGTGTCATATGCTAATTCGAGATAGACTGTGAATGCGATCCGAGCATGCACCGGCAAAAAGCCGACCCCACTCCCGGAGACCTTCTGGCAGCTCCTTCGCTCGGCGACACCCATCCGGACAATTGAGGAGGAGCAACAGCGACGTTACACAGATGCGGCGATCTGTGCCCTGCCCAATATGGCCTTTGCGAAGACGATCGATCGGGCGTTCAGTGCCTGCTTGACATTCTTGAACGCCCCCCGCGGGATGCAAGTTCTCTACGTCGAAGACATGGCCGGAAGACTCGGTGTCTTCTACCACGCTGCAGAACGAACCCTGAAAATTACACTTCGATGGTGGGACTTGGACAGTGTGGACCCAGAGGCCCCATGCCGCAATGTGGTCCCGACGACCATCGATCGGCAGTATGCACCCGTTTCATGGCAAGAGATTGTAGAGGAATTACTGATCCTCTCGATTCCTTTCCTCTTTGCAGCATCCCCCATGTCACGGATCACAGAGAACCGGTACATGCGCGACATCAGACGCCTGCTGCAGTGGTTCCCACATAACATCTAAATCAGCCTTCATGCCAGCGGTCTGCTTGTCAGATGGGAAGACAACGCAGCGGATACAGTGCAGAGAATTGAAGGTGGGCTAGAATACAAAGTCATTCTTCATGCAGAGCACTGTGGCGCCGACGCGGAGCTCCTTCACTCCCAAACGATCAAGTCTGTCCCACCAATCATGTGTGGTCAGATTGAGCTGAGCTCCGAAACACCGACTGAGACCAACTTCGCAGCATGTGGATGCCGCCAGCAGATTGTCCCTCGAACGACTCAATGGTGCGTTTTTGCCGAACTAGATCACTCCACTGCATACTACGCGATGATCTGCGTGAATGAACAGTCGGCGATCTATGGCCTGCCGTCGGAGAAGCTGATCCCTGGTACCAGCATCCACGACAGTAGCTTGGCTTCATGCGATCCTACTGTGCTTGCCTCTGTCGGTATCAAACACGAAGAATCCCTCGCGGTGCCCCTTAGCTCGGTCCCGGCTCATCTGAGTGGCATGTCATATCTTGAATCGTGCAAAAGGCTGAAGGTTTCGCACTATTAAAGGAATTTAATAACTGGATTGACACTGTATCGTCCATAATCGAAATTCTACTGCTGACGTACGTTCTGATCTAGCTTTGGGACAATTTAGAGAACTAAAAATTCAACATCAATGACTTGATGGAATGACTGACATTTTGACCTTGCCATACCAAATCTTCCCAGCATTCCGAAACCAATAAGCGTAGTCGGGCCGACCGACAAAGCGTGGGAGGGGCGTGAGAGCCTTCTGTCACGGGAGACTCTCTCTGTAGTCGAGCTGATCGGCGGGGACGATGTGATGCGCACGGCGCCGCGGATGTTCTGCGACGCTGCCTCGTCCCGGCTAGCTGAGGAGGTGATTCTCCCGTCCAAGTGGGGTCGATCCGTGGCTGCGTGGCGTCCATGCCAACAGCTCTGTCGTGACGAACCGTCGCGACGGTTTCTTCGGAGCATTCTGCGGTTCGTGGCGAGGGGCCCCGCGGCGGGTGGTAGAGGGCGTCCAAGGCGGTGTCGGTTGGGCTACGCGTGTCAGCACGACCAAATCAAAACACTCCAGTGAACGCCGAACTTACCAGATGCAGCATGAAGTACCACGTCCTGTGTCGCGCTTTTCCAGCCACTCCTCTGTACAGGCCAGGTGCGATAGCCCCCTGCACTCGACGCACCGCAAAACCACGCGTTCATCGACTTGATCGCCATCCTCGGCCAAACAGAACATGCAGTGGATGTTGTCAACTTCGTCACTGGGAGTGACGCTGTGGAGCTTCAAATCTTGCACACCTTCCCAGATGTTCGTGACGAATGGAAGGATCGCTGGCTGGGCCGGCGACACATGCCATGGAACATTGTTTGCTCGCAGCATCGCAGTCGTGATATAGGGAGCAACCCATGAATGACCATGATTGGACACATTAGGGTCACTGAGGAAGCTGATAGGCGAGGGCTCACGATTCCACTGTCGATTTCGGGGCCATCGCTTGCAGAGAAAGCAGTCTCCAATCTTGCAGAGTGCAGACTGCAGTCCGGCCAGATCAAATGT